CGATTTTTTTTTTTTTTTTTTGGAAGGCATATTGTAGGATATATTAAAATAATTTTTAAATTTAAAATTGATAAAAACTATTAATTTATTTTAGATTATTTATCAAAATTATGATTTAAATTATAAATTAGATTAACAGCATGTTTTTTTTTTTTTAAATATATATAAATGGCATTAGAAATTTCAAATTTTAATAGTAATTTTTAATAGAAGATTATAATGGATATTACTATATTTGTAGTAAGATGTAACACACGGAGAAAAAGATTTTAAAAGTATGATGAAGTGGGAGGTTGAGTGGACAGCATTTTGGGGTGAATGCTCTTGTGTATGAGTCAATGTAGTTAATCGAAAACAAATGTGTGCACATGTTGCTCCCCAAGACCAAAGAAATGAATATTACTAAATAGTTTGCTACATAGTCGACCTAATATTTTCGTGCACAACACGACTTATTCATATAATCATGGTTTTAGTGCAGTGATTTGTATTTTATCAATACCGATTCATAGAAATTGTGAATAATTTTATTTAAATTATATATTTATTTTAAATAATAAAAAAATTATACAAGTATGAAACTAATTGACTACATTTTTGTTGTTAGTTCAAAACCGTTTCCAATTGTTTTGAAAATAAATAGATTATTTAAAGTGATTATGTGTAAAATGAAAATTAAATAATAGAATGGATAATTACATTAAATTGTAAGTTATAATTTTTAATAGAATACTTTGATATAGATTATTTTATTTTATTTTGATTTAGATTATTTTATTTTATTTTGATTTAGATTATTTTATTTTATTTTGATTTAGATTATTGGTATAGATTATTTAAATTATTTACAGTTATAAATATTTTATATTTCGAAATAATGTTTCGTAAAAAAAATTAACTATTGGTATCGGGGCTTTTGTTGCTTAAATAAAAGTTAGTTTAATACAGAATTTTGTTTAAATAGTATTAATATTATAAGTAGAAAAGAATTTTAATAAAAAAAAAGAAATGTTTGTGAGATAAAGAAAATTATTAAAATAGTAGAAAACTCTGAGATTAAAGTTAACGTAGGTTGCTTAAAATAAGTTTAATTATAAATTATGCGTTACATTTTGAAAATTTATTTTATAGAGATATAATTTCAAATTAATAAAAAAAAATGAGATTTATTAAATTAAGGTTCTTAAAATAATAGAAAATTTTAGTGTGTCGGAAATATAAAAGTTTTAAATGTATAAATGTTAAAAAAATTTTTATTAAATAAGATTAAAGTATACATCATTAATAAAATCCTTATAAAAATATAATCTCGGGGTCGTGGGTTCGAGCCCCACGTTGGGCGCCACTTGTAATAAACCAAAAATAAAAAGAAAGAAGAGAAAAAAGAAAAATTTGAAGTATAAAAATGTGAATAAGAAAGCGTAGGTTAAATATAAAAAGAAATTAGGAGGTACTTGGTAAAATGTTATAATCAATTATTTATTATAAGTTTTTGTAATTTTAATTAGATTTAATTGTCTTCAATTTTATTTAAATTAATTTTCTCATTAATTGTTTCTCTCATTAATTATTAATGGTTTATCACGCAATAGATTGTTGGGAGTTCGAAAGCATAAGTTAAATTGTACTTACCTTACGTCCTGTGTGATACCATAATATTTTAAGTAATCCAGTGTTGATTTCCGTATTAAACGCACTACTTATACGATTTACACTATATGTAATATAGTCTATATAATTGCTTACAAAAAAACGACTAAAGACTTTAAATAATATGATTTAATTACACAAAGTTTAAGACTGATCTTACTTGTAAAAGATTTTAAACACTCTCTATTTTATTATAAATACAATTTTAATTTTTTTTATTATTGATTTTTTTTTACGTCTGTTGAATAAGTATTTTTTTTTAGAGAGTATATTTTATTGAGAGATCGATACCAATATTTCTTAAATTTTCCTCTGGCCTGGCCAAAACAAGATTCAGAAATATCTATATCTATGTAAAAATTTTATCAAGGCAGAATTGTGGTGGCCCAATGTGTCCCGGTGCTAAAATAAAGCACCTTGAAAGGATGCGGCACAATAATAACCAAGACAAAAATTAAACACTGCAAATATATTCGTAAGTTTCTCTACGTTGTCTGCCGGCGCGATGTTTATTAAAACAAAGACATTAGCAACGAGACTAGCTACCCAATACGCATAGGCTTACAAATATATTCTAACCTAATATACCTAATTCTAGAACAATGTCTAGTTGCAACCTTTACTCTGTCTGCCGGCGCGATGTTTGTTAAAACAAAGACATTAGCAACGAGACTAGCTACCCAATAAGTATAGAGTTGCAATACACTTAGTCAAATAAATTTAAATCTCAATTTAAATTGAGAAGATTGTGACCTTTAGCTTTGTCTGCCGGCGCGATGTTCGTTAAAACAAAGACATTAGCAACGAGACTAGCTACCCAATAAGAAAAGCTCACAATAAATTTTTATTATTAAATAAATATCTAAATTTAGGTTGGATTTATTGTTAAAATAAAATAATTTAAAAAAAATATAATGTTTAAAATATTATTTGATGTTTATTTTCACAACAAGAAAAATAAAATATTATTAATGATTGAACAAATTAAATTAAATTAAAAGATTCACCAAAACAAAATTCACTTTAAAATTTCTAAGTGTCATTTAGTTTTAAAGAAAAATATTCTAAGTCCAAATTAATTAAAAAATCGACTAAGTCCCGGAGAGTGAAATCTTGAGTAGAGTGTCGTAGATTTTGTGTATTTTAAAATCGTCAAAAGAACTGGTTTAGATGGGGAAAAATGGCTTTTTATAGTGTGAAGGGGGTAGCCCAGCGATCTCTACCGTGATCCTGGAAGCTGAGGCTTTGTATTTTAATTGGTTAATTAAAATGGGGTTCTTGCGTGTAGGCGTTACTTAATAATTTCTACAAGAGGGAATAACCCTTTAATATACATATCGACAATAACAAAATAACCCTTTAATTATACATATCGTATAATTAAAAGGTTATTTTGTATCTTAAATAAGAGAACCCTGTTTTGGTGATCTTGTATAATCATAATATGGGACATACATGTACAAATGATAACATCATATTATATGTTAATATTATATGTAATAATATAATATTACAGCTGATAGATAACGTAAATTTTGAGTGCTACTATTGTTGAAATATATTTCATGCATTTAATGCATTTAAGCATTTCATGTCATTAAGTAAGGTTTTTTAAGATTTTAACTCTTTGTATTTATTTTTTCATTGAAATTTAATTAAATTTTTTATTTTAATACTATACTAAGAATCCTTAATAGAACTTTGACATAAAATATTGCTGGGACCAGGGGCACTAAGTATTATAGTGCGTACCCGGACCGGCTAATTGCACCAATACCGATCAGGCTGCGTAGTGTGGTGTATGTAAATAGAATCACTGGAGGTGGGAGGGTTCGCCTGCGCAGCAACCAGTGATCTATGTAATGAGAGATGTGTTAGTGTGTATATATGTAAGTGTGTACTATTAAACAAAATAAATAAATAATTTTAAAACTTTATAATAATCAACAATAACAATAATTAATTTAAATTACAACTGTAATAATAATAATTCATAAACCTAACTTTACATAAAATTAGACAATAATTATAAACTAATAATGGTAACTAATTGTTAACTTGATCACTTATAATGACAGGACATTGAACAGTAAAAGAGATAATAATTTAATTTCCCCCCAATAGAAATTAACAATTAGCCCTTCTGACTAATTAACTAAACAATATTTACAAGCCCTTATAGCTGTTGCATGCTGACCTTATGCCAACGATTAAGGAGGAATAATAAATTAAATATGATACAAATTACACACAAACTTAAACTGCTCAATAAATCACTATCAAATAAAATTTCAATAATCTTAATAAATGGTACTCACTAATAATTGTAACTGACCAGCCACTGCTAAAACTAAGACACAAATTACATTTACACACAATTACTACAACACACAATTTTTTCTGAACACTTATAGATGAATTGCAATGCAAGTTTCACAAATAAGTATAAATTATCACAGGAGACTAGAATGAATGAACAATGTAAGCCCTGGTGGGCACTACGAAACAACAATTGACGAATTTATAATCCAAAAAAAGAACTTATTGAATATTCAACACTTAATTTTAATTAACAACAAAAAAAAACGGTAGCACAGTGGGGTCGCGGCATAGTGGAGACATTGCATAGTAGGGTCCAGTATAGATTTAATCTGACAGTGATTAAAATCACTATCATAAGAAACGCTTCGATGCAAATCTGTAGATAGTGTTTAATTTTAAAAAATTGATGGATAATTGCAAAAGCAACATCAACTTCTATTAAAATAAAATACAAAACCCATAATTATCATACAAAAATAGTATATTTTTCAATATGGTAGCCATTTGCGTATAGAAGATAGATCGTCGGGACAAATTTTTTTTTTTCATTTTGTAGTACATAAAATAAGCTTTAATTTTATATATGTTTAAAGGACGCAGTATTTCCGGAACATTTTCAAAAATTAAGTTGAAAAAGTTATTTTTTGTAAAAAAGTTACTATTTTAAATCCTCCCAGTGAGCAGAATAAGTGTTAGATTTTCAAAAAAAATTATATCAAATGAAAGGGAAATATCTAAGGTTTCAATACAAAAAAATATTATTTTTATTTGTTCATTTTTGAAAAAGTTATGGCAGTTTTAAGTACAAAAAACATCCCGATAAAATGTAATTTTTATCGCAAACATTACATTTTTTTTTAAATTTTCGACAGCCATTTGCACATAGAAGATAAGATGTCGGGACAAATTTTTTTTTTTCATTTGATAGTATATAACATAACCTTTGATTTGATATATGTTTAAAGGACGCAGTATTTCCGGAACATTTTCAAAAGTTCAGTTGAAAAAGATCTATGTTTTTTACAATATTTTAAGTTTTGAACGCCCCCTATATAAGGGGAAATTGTCCAATTTTAATAAAAAGTATGTCAAATGAAAGATGTACTTATAATGTATTTAGAAAAAAAAAATTTGTGCTGATATATACATTTTTCAAAAAGTTATAGCATTTTTAAGTTGAAAATTTAAAATCGAAAATCGAAAATTTTAACACAAAAATAGTGTTTTTTTAACTACGGCAGCCGTTTAAATGTAGAAAAAAAAGTGTCGGGACAAATTTTTTTTTTTCATTTTGTAGTACATAAAATAAGCTTTAATTTGATATATGTTTAAAGGACGCAGTCTTTCCGGAACATTTTCAAAAATTAAGTTGAAAAAATTAATTTTTGTAAAAAAGTTGCCATTTTAAATCCCCCCCAATGAGCAGGTTAAGTGATAGATTTTCAAAAAAATGACATCAAATGAAAGGTAAATATCTAAGGTTTTGGTATAAAAAAAAGTTATGTTGATTTGTTGATTTTTCAAAAAGTTATGGAAGTTTTAAGAAAAAAAAGTGAAAAAATTTCGAAAATTAGCGATTTTTAAATTTGTAATTTTTTTGGATATTTCCCCCATTTGCGGGGAACGAGGGAATTTTTTTCAATTTTTAAGGGTAATGTCTTCAACTAGATACGATTTGTGATCTTTTGAC